TCATATAACACCAGATATATTTATTATATATTTGAAAATCATCACCAGTAGGATTCGAACTCTAAACCTGGCCATCTCAGATGCAACAACTTAACCACTTCACTAAGTCACCACATCTACAAAATAAACTTTGATTTTAACCAATTAACTAATCTTCAAAATCATCCAATTCAACTAGAAAACATACATACTCTCAAAAAGATTATACTTACTCATACCTTTGTGGACTTCTTGATCAATTACATTCTTACTCAAATACATACCCTTCTATTGACTAAGCAATTTGCAAAATTAACATTTGGTCCATCTTATAGATCTTTTTTTTTTTCTTCTTTGGCAACCTTGCTGTTAACCTTTATTAAGATTTATATTTACAAATTTGTATATATGTTGACCTAATTTACTGGTTCGACATCCTCTGGCTGCTTCAAAGAGTACCCAGAGGTGGTCTGCTGCACCAGTTGGCTGTATCAGACTAGCCTAAAAGACTATATAAAAATAGTCTTACTTTACTTTCTATATAACTTTTAATTAAACCAAACCATGTTTCCTTTATCATAATATTTTTTTTCTCTTTTAACTTCTTAATTTCTTTAGCAGCTTGGTTTCTTTCTATTCTACTTAAATCCTCTATTTGACTATACATCTTTTACTAGATGATTTTATATTTCTATTTGGCTTTCTCTGTTTTAACAACTGATTAATGTTCATTAGCTTTTCCCATTCATTAATAGCTTTACATCTTCTCTTCCATATGATTTTGTAAAATTCATTCCATATTATATTGATTACTATATCTAAAAAATCTTTTGTTTCCTTAAGCAGGGGTTCGCTAAAGTGGAGTAACTATTAAATCGATGGTCCAGGGGGGTCATACAGTCAATTGATTATCTAATCAATGCAGCCAATTAACGTATCCCATACAAAATTAGTTGACCAATATAAATTCAAGATTTTTTTTTTTTTTTTTTTATTAAGAAAATTTTACATATTTGGGCTTTAAGTTCTTAGTGAGCTTTAGGTTTTCAGTGAGAACACTACTATAGAAAGAAAAACCCTCGATGCTATGACAATTGATAAGATGGAAAATGCAGCATGCTGAAAATGAATTTATAAGAGCTATTCAGGTAAGCGTGGGTGTATCTGATACACTGATGATTCGCTCATCTAACATTCATTTTCTCTGTCTTGTGTCTACTTATTATGAAGCAATGACATGAAGCTGGTATTCGTGATTCAATTTGTTGAAACCTGTGACAAGCTAGTAATCATAATAAAAATAAAAAAAAAATCAAACTTGAAAATTATGTAATAATAAATCTTTGAGCAACAAACCTGGCTTGGCTATTTGCAAGCATCCTGCAAACAGCAAAGAAGCAAGTTCTGGCTAAATTCTGCGTTAAAAGAGCAGCTTTTGGCTATTAAAAAAAAAAAAAAAAAAAAAAAAAAAAAAACTATAACAAACTGTAAATGAAAAAAAACTTTGCAATCACTGCTCTGGCAATATTAACCTTCTGAGAATGCTTTTTTAACATAAATGAAGCATTTTGGTTTTCTATTAAAGATTTTAATAAGCAGTGGACTCTTGTTAATAATATTTAATAGGTATAAGTTGGTTAATAGTAATGAACATAAAACTTTTGTTTATAGACTTTCAAAGTCAAAGGAATCAAGTGTAAGAAAAAAAAAAATCTTTCTTTTGAAAAGCTTCGTATAATTTGGAAAAGGCCCACTATTGATCATAAAGCTAGATTAGGATTGGGAAGGTAAAAGTAAGAATAATATAATTTAAAATGTTGATGTATTTTTTAAACATTGTAATATGTCTTTTTTTTTTTATAAATAATTAAATAAATAAATAAAATAAATTTGTAGACGAGTAGTATTTCTGATCATAGCCATTCAATGGAAGAAAATGATATGTGTAAATGGTCAAATTTATTGAAGATATGGTAGATATGAGGTGATTAAGGATTACAAACCCTGGTATATTATATATTAATTTAGCTGTTGTAAATGAAGTGTTTAAAATTCAAGTTTATGATATAAGAATGAACAAGTAAAATGAGAATATCAATAATTATATTAAAGAATTTCAGCTTTAAGCCACATCTTATAGTGACACAGTCGAGTGAATTCTTTTAATAGATTAGATAATATTTAGCAATCTGATAGTCACATTTATTTTATTTATTTTCATTTTTATGGTGATTTAGTGCCAAGTATAAAGATAATTTATTAATTTAATAGTTTTTAAAATAAGCTATTCAGGTTTATGAGGATTTATTATTTAATTTTCTTTAATTCGAATTAATTTGGTGCATAAATATATAAATTTTATTTTGTTTACATTAATTCAGTGCATAAGTATAAAAAAATTTATTAATCTAGCTATTTATAATAAGTTATTCAGGTTTATGAAGATTTACTATTTAATTTTCATTAATTCAGATTAATTGGTGCATAATACAAGAAACTCTATTTAATTTCATTTTGTTTATGTTGAATTAGTGCATTAGTATAAAGAAAATGAATTAATCTAGTCATTTAAAATAAACTATTCTGGTTCATGAATATCTATTATTTAATTTCCCCTAATTCAGTTAATTTCATGTACAAATAAAGAAAATTGATTAGTCTAAGTGTTTAAAGCAAGCTATTTAGTTCATGAATGAATAATATTTAATTTCCTTTTTTTTTTGTATTATTTTGTGTGCAAGTGTAAAAAATTTATTTGTTCAAGTGTTTAATAAAGTAAGCTATTCAAGTTTGTAAACAGATTTAAAAACTTTAATATTCATGAGTTTTTATTAAACATTAATCTTAAATTGCTTAAAAAAAAAAAAAACTTCTGAATGAAGAAAAAAAAAAATTACAACTTTGCCTTGTATGTACACTATTTATTACTTATTGCACATATAGTACGTTTGATTATCCTAGCATATAATGCATGAATGCTTTGCATTATCTTTTTTAACTCTTATTCCAACCCATCTTTCATCTTAGTAGATTATTTATAATGAATAAATGCCCTGCACTTACCCTTTAACATATTCTACAGCCAATGTCTATATATTTTAGTTTTATTTTTTATTTTTTTTTATTTTTTTTTTATTTTTTATTTTTTTTATTTTTTTTTTATTTTTTATTTTTTATTTTTTTATTTTTTTATTTTTTTTTATTTTTTTCAATTGATTGCTGGCTCTAATATTTTTTCCAAATTGCTAACAAATTATGATGCCTCATCTTTGCTTTTCTCTGCCAACCTATAGTAGCAGTCCTGAGTTCTTTCAAATAATTCACTCATTTTTAATTGGCTTTTTTCTGCCACTTTTTTTGCTGGAGATCTCTGAACAACAGGTACTTCCACAATACAACAGGTTTGATATACTTCTATGTCACTTTCTTCGAATGTTCTTTGAAATCTGCTCCAAGCTTCTGGTATTAATATATTGGTTCTACAAAGTTGTTCGTAGAAAATATGACAACATGATAATATATACTGATTGAAGAATCTGCATGAGCATTCTGCACTTTCAAGGTTAGGTAAGCACTTTCCTTCTTCAAGTCTTTTTGTGACAGCATGTACTTCTTCTGCGATAAGTTTTTGAAAAGGAAAAGGAAATTTATGAACCTCAGTGAGAATTTCTGGCCTAATATTAGCAAGAGAAATTCTTTTAGTACGAAAATTGATAGCAGTTTCTTTGGCAGCCATCATTTTTTTGTTATCAAGTTCTAAAAGAATGTAACACACTCCTAAATAAAAGAATAAATAAGTAAATTAATTAAAAATAAAGAATAAGTTAAAAAAAAAACCAAATTAAAAAAAATAAAATAAAATAGATAAAGAAAAAAATATCGGTGACCCTCCTTAGTATCAACTTTGTTAATATAAACCCCTCATTAATTAACTTAAATTTTAAAAAATTAAGTTCAAATCATATAAATTTTACCTCTTAGTTATCGATCCTCATATATATCAACATAATTATACAGGTTGAATTTTAAAATTTCTACAACATTTCTTAGATTTTTGGCACATATTTTCACCTATCAGAAAGATATTGGCACTAATAGGCATAACAGATATTCAATACTTTTTAATAGAAGTATCTGATATCTGATATGCCTATCTGAACCAATATCCTTCCGATAGGTGAAAATACATGTCAAAAATTATTTAGCTACCAAACATATCAGCAATTGATATTCTGCTGATCTCTCTCGGAAATGATAGAAACTTTAAAATTCAACCTGTGTTATCTGATCCAAATGGGTTGATATCAACGAGGGCATCTGTAATAATAAGATAAATAAAAACTAAAATAAAAAGGTAAAAAATAAAAAAATCAAGACGATTTTAACACTCACTGGAGGTGAAATTCACCAGATATTGGTATGCTATTTCTCAAAGACAGCTTTGATAATCAACATTTGGTATATTAAGTAAAAATGTTTATTATACTAAAAAACTTAACCTTTAATTTAATTTGAATCCTAAATCTTAACCTTAATGTTTAATTTTTGTTTTAACATTTGAGGTAAAATTTTCTATAGAGCATATAATAATAATTAAAATGCATATCGTAGTGAATTTTACCTTCAGCGAAATCTAAATAAATTCAAAAATAAATTAAAAAAAAATTAGAAAATTATCCTTCATTGCAAGTGAACTCTTTAATAAATCAAATGTAACAATGGCAACCAGACTAGAGTTAAGCTAGGATTAAATTGATCTACTAATCACATAGAATTATAATGAAAACCATCTTACTAAAAGCTTATGCAAAATAACATAAAATTATATAAAATTATACAACCCTAATCAAGAGGTAGTAATGCATCTAGAGATGGGCAAGGTAATAATGTAAGTAATAAATTACATATTTTTTTCTCAGAACTTATTATTACTAATTGTTACCTATAACAAATAATTATTACTTATTAGTTTTACAAATGTAATCTGAAAAGTAAGTTTTGAAACTCAATAATTTGCTAATCAGGTTGCATTTTTTGCTTATATCACAATTTTTTACTTATTATTACTTATTATGAAACATTTAGAGAAATAATTGTAGTGATACAAATCGACTAGTTGGTTAGTTGACAACTAATCGACTGAACTTTTTAGGCACCAACTAATTGATTAGTTGCAACTAATCGGTTAAAGAATTAATTGATTAGTTGCAAAGAATTAATTGAAAAATTATTTATCTATTTAATAAATTAATTGCAACTAATCAATTAATCGACCAGTTGCAACTAATCGATTAATCGATCAGTTGCAACTAATCGATTAATCAACTAACTGAAAAAATAATGACCAACTAATTAATTGATGATTTGTAATTCTAAATAATTGGAAATAATAAGTAATAATATGTTTACTAAACTTGCCCATCTCTAAATGCATCGCACTGGCAATGAATAATAGTTCTCTTTAAAAAAAAAAATAATTTAAAATAATAAATTAAAATAATAATAATAATTAAAGATATTTGCCAATCAAATCATAATTAACAGAAATTTTTGCCTTTAGCTTACTGTGAAATGATTCCAGAGAATTAGTAGAAGTGATTTGAAGAAGAAGCGATAAATGCTGGCGAGCCCAAAGCACCCATTGTCTAAAATTTTTTAAATAGTTTCTAGTGATATAATTTGCATTGGCTTGAACAGGACAAGTACTTATAGCATCATGAACGATATCTTCACATCCAGCTTTTGTTCTTTGGTGCATGGCTTGAACCATTTTGTTGAGTGTAAGACTATAGTAAATATTTCTTATTTATGTTCGTATAATGTGAACAGTACAAAGGAGAACATTGCACTCTTGCTCTTCTACAAATCAAAATTATTTGTGTTTTAAAAGTCTTGGAATAATAAAAAACTTTATTTATACTATATCTTCGCATTCATAAAATTATATAAAATTATTTTTTTAAAAAAAAAACAAAAAATAAGATAAAAAAAAAACATAAAATAAAAAAAAAAAAAAAAAAAAAAAAAAAAAAAAAAGAAAAAAAAAAAAAAAAAAAAAAAAAAAAAAAAAAAAAAAAAA